GAGAGAGAGAAGTAATTTAGTGCCGAAATACACAATCATTTATTTAGTGCCTCAACTCTTGGAGTTTGTGCTGTCGTGTGTTTTAAGTGCAATAAAATTATGCAAATTGTTGTGATTTTCGAGCTGTGCTTCTCTTCGATGGCGAAAAAGGGCTCAAATAATAATAGCAATGAAATAAATGGCAAAATAATACCATTAAATTTATTTGCCTTCACTTATAAGATCGTATACTTGAGACTCGCGTACGAGTGATAACCATATTATAAACAATATTTTTATTGTACAGAAAGTGAACGGAATTATAATTTTAAATACAAGACATGTTTCGCTAGCAATTGTCGTCTTATAATGGACTCGTGTATAGCAAACACTATATCAATGACAATCACTTTATGTCAATTCCAGTGCCTGTGATATATCTGTGGCTTAATATTTTTGATGTCATTTTATCATTAAATTATAATTGCATCAAATGATAGCACTTTTGCTAATTAATGTGACTCTTAAAGTAAATATACTTTTAAAAAGGCATTTCTTTAATACCACAAAATCATATTAATATTTATTACAAATTGTATTGCTTTTAAATACCTTGTAATAAAAACGAGATTATATAAGGATTTAAAATGTAATAACAAATAAAAGTGGATTTAATGTAACATGAGATATGAGAGAGAGAGAGAGAGAAGTAATTTAGTGCCGAAATACACAATCATTTATTTAGTGCCTCAACTCTTGGAGTTTGTGCTGTCGTGTGTTTTAAGTGCAATAAAATTATGCAAATTGTTGTGATTTTCGAGCTGTGCTTCTCTTCGATGGCGAAAAAGGGCTCAAATAATAATAGCAATGAAATAAATGGCAAAATAATACCATTAAATTTATTTGCCTTCACTTATAAGATCGTATACTTGAGACTCGCGTACGAGTGATAACCATATTATAAACAATATTTTTATTGTACAGAAAGTGAACGGAATTATAATTTTAAATACAAGACATGTTTCGCTAGCAATTGTCGTCTTATAATGGACTCGTGTATAGCAAACACTATATCAATGACAATCACTTTATGTCAATTCCAGTGCCTGTGATATATCTGTGGCTTAATATTTTTGATGTCATTTTATCATTAAATTATAATTGCATCAAATGATAGCACTTTTGCTAATTAATGTAACTCTTAAAGTAAATATACTGTACTTTTAAAAAAGCATTTCTTTAATACCACAAAAATCATATTAATATTTATTACAAATTGTATTGCTTTTAAATACCTTGTAATAAAAACAAGATTATATAAGGATTTAAAATGTAATAATAAATAAAAGTGGATTTAATGTAACATGAGATATGAGAGAGAGAGAGAGAGAGAGAGAGAGGTGAGAGCAAGATATATATTAGCGATTTCTAAGGGAGAGATATTTATAATAAATCTCTCAGAAAAGTAAAACGTAAAGAATAAGAGACCAAAAAATAGTCTGAAAAAACGGTTTTTCTGGAGTGAATAGAAATTCCTTTCGAGACTTTCACTCCCAAAAAGATCATTGTCTGTGAGTTTGTATGAGTGAGACATACAATGTATAACTTATATATAAAAGTTATGATATAAGCGCACAGTTTGAGACACACAATAACTATAACTCA